ATTAAGGGCACTGTAATGGACACTGTGATGTGACATCCATGTCCGCCTTTAGGACTGAAGGCCTTTTTCTCCCAGCTGCTGGGAGTGTGGCCACAGAGAGCCCTTTGCCGTTAGCCTCTCTTCGGCAATGACTTAGCTGAATAGAGGTGATGTGGGAACTGGCTCCTTCCTTCCCTTTTTTTTTTTTTTTTTAAGATTTTATTTATTTATTTGAGAGAGAGAGAGAGAGAGAGATCACAAGTAGGCAGAGAGGCAGGCAGAGAGGGGGGGAAGCAGGCTCCCTGCTGAGCAGAGAGCCGGATGCCGGGCTGGATTCCAGGACCCTGAGATCGTGACCTCAGCCAAAGGCAGGGGCTCAACCCACTGAGCCACCCAGGCGTCCCTTTTCTTTTTCCTTCTGGCCAAGATCATACTCTTTCTAGGGCAAACCACATACAATGACAGGTCAACATAGGGTATACCTCACCCCAAATCAGGACACCTGGAAGACTCCCTGTGGAATCATCCTCAGCCTTCCGTGAGACTGCATCATACCTACTTACCAATCCTGTTTAAGTCTTCTTCCTTCCACAGGTGATGATCCCGGGAACACTACCTAATCATCTAAACCTAATCATCTCAGAATCAGCTTCCTGAGAAGCCCAGTCTGTGACACGGAGCTTTTACTCCCATGTTTTCTTAAAGATCACCACATGGAATTGACGAGATCCAAGGTCACAAAAATTAAGTCCCCAGGAGCACCTGGGTAGCTCAGTCGTTAAACATCTGCCTTCGACTCATGTCATCTCAGGTCCTGGAGCTGAGTCCCGCATTGGGCTCCCTGCTCATCAGAGAGTCTACTTCTCCCTCTCCTTCAGCCTCTCCCTCTCAAGTGTGCTTTCTCTCTCTCTCAAAGAAACAAAGAAGGCAATGAAGTCCTCATGCACCTCTATTCCCCAGGGAGATAACTCATGAAAGAGACCTAAGCTGGAAAAAAGACATCTACTCTTGGCATGAGCTATGTAGCCAAACAGACCTAAATTTGAAACACTGTTCCTTACTTGGGTAAGATAAACTCCCTAAGCCTCAATTTCATCATCTGGAAAATGCAGATATTTAGTATCTACTTCATAGGTTTGCTTTGTATAAAATACTTGGTACATACAAAAACTAAGTTCCTTTTTTGTCTTTCTTGATCCTTTCCTCCAACAAGCATTAGTCAAAATGCCTAGAAGAGGAAAGCTGACTGGGTTAGAAACAACTTTCTGCTGGCTAGAAAGCTGCTGCTTAGACCTATTCAGGCCTTCTTAATACCTCCACTTGGGGATACCTGGGTGACTCAGTCAGTTAAGCGTGTGCCTTCGGCTCAGGTCATGATCCCAGAGTCCCATATCAGGCTCCCTGCTCAGCGGGGAGCCTGCTTCTCCCTCTGCCTGCCTCTCTGCCTACTTGTGATCTCTCTGTCAAATAAATAAATAAATAATTTTTTTAAAAAAGCTTATTTGGATCATCCTCTTGTAGATTTAAGGTATTCAAAACCTCAGAAATGGCATTTTATTAAGCCAGAACAGTACAGGCACTGGATATTCCGAGATAGAATCTTCTATATTTGCTCTTTTCTGAACCCTCTAGTTCTCCTCAGCCCTTCTGGGAAGTTTTTTCCTAACTAATCAACTCCATAAGATCTTCTTAAATGTCAGCTTCTCCATGAAATCTTCCCTGTTCCAGCCAGAAAAACAACTAGTTTCCTGCTCAAATGCTCAGCGATCTTACATGTATATTATACCTTACTGTATTTCTCCTGTTTTATACCTTTCTAGTGATGGAATTAATACAATATGTACAAGATGGCCCATAAATTTTGAGATTCTTTAAGAAGAAATTTACAGGGGCGCCTGGGTGGCTCAGTGGGTTAAGCCGCTGCCTTCGGCTCAGGTCATGATCTCAGGGTCCTGGGATCGAGTCCCGCATCGGGCTCTCTGCTCAGCAGGGAGCCTGCTTCCCTCTCTCTCTCTCTCTCTCTGCCTGCCTCTCTGTCTACTTGTGATCTCTCTCTGTCAAATAAATAAATAAAATCTTTAAAAAAAAAAAAAAAGAAGAAGAAATTTACATATTTTGCAGCAAATGATCCTCAAAGAACAGAACTCAAAGTATTATTTATAATGAGAAATTTAGGATGGTCTGGGGATGGTCTCCTTTTTAAAATTTTTTTTTAATTTTATTTATTTATTTGACAGAGAGAGATAACAAGTAGGCAGAAAGGCAGGCAGAGAGAGAGGAAGGGAAGCAGGCTCCCTGCTGAGCAGAGCACGATGTGGGACTCGATCCCAGGACCCTGAGATCATGACCTGAGCTGAAGGCAGCGGCTTAACCCACTAAGCCACCCAGGCGCCCTAAATTTTTTTTTATTTAAAGATTTATTTATCTATTTATTTGACAGAGACAGCAAAAGCCAGAGGAGCTGCAGGCAGAGGGACAATGCAGGCTCCCCACTGAGCAAGGAGCCTGACATGGGCTCGATCCCAGGATTTGGATCATGACCTGAGCCAAAGGCATATGCTTATCTGACTGAGCCACCCAGGTGCTCCTACACTGAGAAAGACGAACATATAGAGAAAAGACATGAAATCAGTATGTAATTCTGTTCAAAAATCCTGCCTGGATAAGAACAAAGACATACTTTCTAATATGTTATAGTTTAATATCATGCAAAGAAAGCCAAAAATTGACTATTACAATTTGATGTCCTATAATTTGTTCCTATAATTCAGAGATGAAAATCCAAATATGCTCCCGTATGGGCATGAAAATCACACTGGATACTAAGTCCACTGCAAATGAAACAAGTTCAAGTTATCTGACAGCTATGCAAATCAAACCCCGTAGTCTACTGGGTCTCTAATGAAGCAGAAACAAAAGTTGTCAAATAAAGAACAGGAGTGGACTTTAGGGCAGAAAGTATTTGCTACCAATTCTTGTCATCTTTCAGAGATAAATTTGTCAAAGAACAAGAACTGGCAAGAACGTCCTTTCAAACCCTGGAAAGATCTATCTGTGAGCATGTGCTTTTTTTGTTGTTCTTTCTGATAATACTTAAGATTAGAAAAAGAAGATATACTCTATGCCAAGCTGGTAAGAAGAAACAGTGATAATGTAAACAGTAAATAGTCTAACAACTACCTTTATAAAACGAGAACAAGTCATCGGGTTGAGTTCTTTTCAAAGAGATAAAATGTCTTCAAATACCCACACATGAGAGAACACTAAAATTTTTAACTTCATTTTATTTTTTAACTTCATTTTAGGTTATATTCTTTCACATTCTCACATAGTCAGTCACCAAATCCTGACAACTTTCACTGAAAAAGTTTCCCTAACCCCCTCCCTGCCAGACTTCATTATCACATCCTATGATGCTGTGATAATTTTCCAATTTTGACTCTGGTTATCTTCCTCTCAAGCTTTCTTTTTTACCCCCTTGAATTATCTGCATCCTTGCCTTACTCAAAGCCCTCACTTGATGCAGACTAAAGTTAAGCCATCCCCATTTCATAATATGATAATATGAGTATATGGTCCCAAACTTTTTTTTTACACAAACTCTCTGCTCTAAGCATAATAATCTCCTTTGTTTTCCAGGACACACCATGTTAAAATGCATTTTCAGTCTTCCATTTCTTTTCCACTCTCCATAATATACTATGTTAATGCCTCTGTCCACCCACCCAACTGTGTACGGCAAACAATATTTACTGAGCATTTACTGTGCTTCAAGAATTAATGCATCATCTCAAGTTCCACCACTTTTTCAAGCTCTTTCAATCTGCAAAGGAATTCTCCTTAATGATTCTCCTCCATTTGGCACCCAACAGGAGAAATGCCTTAGGAGAAATTTACCCTAGCCTGTTAGGTCATACTGATATAGCCTTGAGAAGTCAAATGAGTGCCAGAGAGTAAAGCTGGGGTTGAAGAATAATAAATAAGAGATCATTCATTCATTCATTCCATATCTGGTGACCAATTATCATGTGTCAAACACAATTCTGGTTGGGACAGGCAAGGATCCCATTCTCACAGAATGTGAGTGCACCCACACTAGAGAGGAGGAGGTAACCAACACTAAACACATGAACAAACAATCACTTTAGACTGGAACAAGTGCTTTGAAAATATAATACAAGTTTGACATGACAGCAACTGATCATAAGGGACCTTTTTTAGAAAGGTGGACAGGAAGCGCCCTCCCAGATTTAACTGAGAACTCAGCCATGTGATAAGTTAAAAAAAAAATTTTTTTTTTAAAAACCAAACGTCCTAGTTCAAAGACTGACATAATCACATTCTGAACATAAATATGTCTCCTGAAACTCCCCTAAGAGAGAACACTCCTTGATATGAAAAAGTAGAGCACAAAATACTGTGCTCACTCAGGGCTAATCAAGATTGCTGCCTTTCCAAAAAAAAAAAAAAAAAAAAAAAACCACTCTAAAAAGAACACTCCAGTTCAATGGCCTCTCCTTCCCCGAGTTCAGAGCTCTCTCAGCTATCCTGAGAACTCCAATAAGAGCCATCAACCTAAAAGAACACGTTAAGGGTACACAGGGACCCGTTCTACTTTCTGGCCGAGAAGATTGTACAGGTAGCAGATACTCAACTTCCTTATATAGACTCACGACTGAAATCACTTTCACCAAAAGGAGACGCGGAAATATTCTTCAATCTGGGGTAAAGTACACCACTCAAGTCGGAGAACATCAGCACTGGACCCCAGAAAAACCACACATGGTGGGCAAAGGAATCCGTTCCAGGCAGGTTCGGACTCTTAATTGTCTCAAAGACTGCGTCCCTCAACTAACTGCCTCACCTGCAAACTAATCTGCACGACTCCTGCCTCTGAAGATATGTGTAGCTCTAACGAGACAGCCATAGAGAACTTTCAAAGGCTTACGGAGTGGAACAGTTTCAAGTCACTTAAACTATTTTAAGTAAAAGGAGCGCAAGCCGGAGCCGCACGAACACACCTTGACCAGCCACACTCCGGTGTTCTGTTTGGCGCCGGTCAGATCGAGCTCCCCACGTTCCGCCATGGGTCTGTTGCGGTGGAAGCGAGCGGACCGGAGCAGCTGCTCGGGAGCTGGGGGCCTGCGGTGCAAAGGACCGGAGAACACTGTGTGCCTCTGTCAGAGGCGAAATAGGAAGAAACCGCGTCCACCCGCCAAGATACAGGGATTCCCGGAAAGAGAAACACGCCGCTGGGAGGCGGGACTGCGCCTGCGCGCTGCCACCGTCGGGACGGCACGCCGGGCCGGACAAACCTCCTAGTTCAGCCCTTCCTTGAGTGGGCGTGGTTATTGTAGCTGGTTGTGTCAGAGTGATCAAGACATAGGGTAGGATGAAAACAAAATGTCATAGGGTAGGATGAAAACAAAATGTCCACGATACATTTAAAGACCAGGTCAGCATAAGTGAAGACAGGCAGCGTCAAAACAGAAAAATGGGGTTCAAAAACACAAAAGCTGTCAGTATGTGTCCAACCCTGGCCAAGAGAGAAGCAACATTTTTGAGGACAGGGTGGGAATAATAAAAAGAGTAAGTGAATTTTAGCACACATGGGCGCCGGGATCAAACAGTGTAGCCCTGGGAATACTAAAAACATGCTGTTTGTAGACCAGGAAAAAAAAAAAAGTGTCTCAGGTGACAGGCTATCCTGAGCACTTCCAATTAAACAAGCAGAGCGCACTCCTTTCAGACTCCAAAACACAAACGCGGAGTCTATATAATTAGATCAAGGACAGTAGAGCTGTAAGACAAACCTGATCGTTAAATTCCCCCGGCTTAAACAGTTTCCTCTTTGTCTTCTTGCCTCTAGCATTAAATTCAATTTTCTCTTCGAAGGCCCTCTCAATATGATCCCTGCCGCTCAATCTACACATGGAACCACACGGAACTGTCAGACCTCCCCCAAACACATCGGGATCTTCGCCCTAAATTATTTCAGAGCCTCTGCACACTGGATACCCTTTACTCATAGATGGATGCCGTATTCCCCCCTTACTCTCCTTCTCATCCCTGTCCTCTGATTGGCAAATTCCTACTTGGGTTTCAAGACTTACGGAAATGTCACTTCCTAGGAAACCTTTTATTAAATTCCCCAGAGGAAGTTGGTTTTTCTTCACATCACAGTGTGATACTTATCACCCTGCGCTACTGTATACATGTTTACATGCTGCCTTTGCTTTCTAGAGCTCCTCCTAGGTGGAAACAGTGTTTTATTCATTTTGTATCCACAACAGCTAGCACAGTACTTGACACATTGTCAGATTTCAATGGACTTTAGCGGAATGAACATTTGCTGAAAGAGAAACAAAGAGCAAAATGTAAGAATGGTATTGAATCAAACATTACTATGATGCACTTAATCCAGGAAAATCCATGCCTGCGCAGCATAGAGCTAGAAAAAGTCAGGTTTCTGTGATCAGCTGAGAAAACTAATAGGAAAGATGGGAGACCAGGCATGGGTTGAAAAGGAAGGTTACATTCTTGGGTCACAGCTTACAAAAAGGCCTTAAAACATATAAAGGGTGAAGAGAGCTTCTTTGAGCTTTGATCAAACAGAAGGAATAAAATGAAATACGAGACCTTAAGGAAAGGGAAATAATGTAGCCTGGAGCACCCTAGTAATGGACTTTAAAGAATTAAGGGTGCCTGGGTGGCTCAGTCGGTTAAGTGTCTGCCTTAGGCTCAGATCATGATCCCAGGGTCCTGGGATCCAGCCCTGCATTGGGTTTGCTGCTCTGCAGGTAGTCTCCTTCTCTCTCTGCCTCTCCCCCAACCCAGCTTGTGCTTTATCTTGCGCACGCTCTCTCTCAAATAAATTTTTTAAAAAAGAAAAAAGACCTTTGATCTTTGGTCATGGGAAGACTTAAAATGAGTGTGGGTGTGTGTATACATGGAATGAGAGAGGACAAATGGGTAAAGAAGAAATGGCTAGAGAAGAAAAAGAAAAGGGCAAGTTTTTAAAGTGATTACATAGGGTGGTGTGCCCGCCTGGCTCAATCAGTAGAGCATGTGACTCTTGATCTCCAGGTCCTGAGTTCAAGCCCCATATTGGGCATAAAGCTTACTACATACATACATACATAGGGAAGAAGAAAAAACTATTTAGCACCCCATCCTCATATAGTGTTGAACGAAGAACAAACTTTCATCTGTCCTTTTCAAACTCCCAGCTTGAGGAGGAATGCATATGAGCTGTGAGAGAAATGGACAATGTCTCTGCTGTTCCAGGTGAAGTGGGGAGACCCCCAGGCCTTGAGGCCTTCACCCTGCCTGTCCCCAGGATGTTGCTGGAGGAGCTTAGTCTCCCCAAAAGAAAGAAATCAAGGACGGACCAGACGCAGTTGTTAAGCGGTGCAGGTGAAGAGTTTAATTAAAGTGATGATGTGAGAGTGGGCAAGCTCAAGGGAGAGCTGTGTGGCCTGGGGTTTGGGGTTCTATCCTTGATTGGTAGTCACTAACAAGAGGATGGAATATTTATTATTTGGGGACTGGATTTCTTTGGGAGCGTGGTTTCATGCTTTTTCTCCCTTACTTGATCAGGGTCTTTGGCCTTCTTCGTCTTGGGCCTATCTGATTCGATCCAACTTCTTGTAGCTTTGTTTGACAGTGCTGTCCGGACAGGTATCTGATTTTCCTGATAGCTGACCCCGACTCTCCCTTTGCTGGCCTCCAGCTAGGGACGGAGAGTCAAAGAAAGGCAGACAGGAGCAAAGGGCTCCCGTCCTAGAAGAGGAAACTACCCTTAAAAGGAAAAAGATCCCATCCTGTTATTCTACACCATGCTGGAAGGAGCCCTCCACTCTTCCCTATGTTCACAACTATCTGTTACATAGATGAGTATGTGGACAAAACCTGATTGGGTGACAGGTTCCTGGAGGGTTAATCAGATTAAGACAGCCCACTCATCATCTCCTAAAAACCCCTGGATTTAAATACCAAAATGGCAAGCCCCTTGGGTCCCCTGCCTCTTCAGGAGCTCTGTACTTTGGCTCTGTACTTTTGGCCCAATAAACCGCTCTGCTGCCCACCACTTTTTGTCGGGTCTACCCCTTCATTCTTCGAAGTGGCATGACCAAGAGCAGCAGTGCTAAAGAAAAATCCTGAAACGCAGACATCCAGTTAGAACCTAACTACTGCCTAACTAATGCGGTGAACCGGAGTCACAGATTTACTCTGGAAACTGAAAAAATATTAGATCTCAGCTAGGTTTTTCACCTTCCTGAGGGCTCATTATATGCCAGATAGCAATAATTTTGGCCTAATCCTACTTTGTGTTCCTTTTTGTGTTCCTTCCACCATGATCCCACACCCTTAATATCCATTCTCAAACACACATGTTCCCTGGATTGCTACTTGTATAAATCATAAAACTGGGGCACCTGGGTGACTCAGTCAGTTAGTTAAATATCTACCTTTGACTGAGGTCATGACCCAAGGGTCTTGGGACTGAGCCCTGCTCAGCTGGAAGTCAGCTTCTCCCTCTCCCGCTACCTCTCCTTCTACTCATGCTCTCCAAGTCTCTCTCTCAAATAAGTAAAATCTTAAAAATAAATAAATAAATAAATAAAACTTAAGTAGTTCTTTTGAAGTATAGTGCACTTCTCCTGGGTCCATACTTTGTACCTCATCCTTGGGATCTGCTGGAACTTGAATCTAGTTATAGGTCTAGGAGCAAAGAGAGGTGGTGAATGGTGAGTCCTGAGAATTAGCATTGCAGGGGAAGACAACTGCCTTATGGGAAGCTATCACAAAGTCTTCCTTAATCTTCTCAGAGGAGGTTAGGGGATATAGGGGACAACATCCCTGGAGGTGGGGAAGCTGCTTCTACATGGGGGTGGGAAGGCCACTTCCACTGGCAAAGATTCCTCAGAGTCTAGGGCTTCTGCATTCCCAGCTCCATCCTCATCCGGGTTTTCCCACACATCCCCATTCCAAACACACAGGATCCCATCCTTTCTGAATCAATGCCCTCATTTAAATATACCTTTTGCGTCTGAGAGTTCAACCTGTGTGGTTAATTCAGCCAGTCCCAGAATGAGTATCTGTGTTTGATTTCTAGCCCTCTCAGCCGCACAGCTACAGAAGATAAAGGTCATTATCTTCTTTATCTTTTCTGGGTTTAGCTTTCTGGTCCTGTATGCATGCTTGAGCTGGGAGTTCAAATCCCTGAGCTTGTCTTTTTCTTTCACCGTTCTGTCCAGCAACATTAGGAGCAACCAGCCAATTTCATTGGATTTGTTAGTTTCCCAAAAATGTTTGAGCGTATCATATACACAGTCACCCAGGTCCTTGCTTCTTATAAGTGGTCAATTAGGCATAGTCGATGCCGGTATTTTGTGTATCTCTAGGGCCCAGTCACACAATGGACTCTGTGTTCTCTTACTACTCTAGAGTCTTTAGCATCTTTAAATCCAATTAGAGAGCAATTCCAGGGGCACCTGGGTGGCTCAGTCAGTTAAGCATCTGCCTTTGGCTCAGGTCATGATCCCAGGGTCTAGGGATCAAGTCCCTCACTGGGCTCCCTGCTCAGCGTGGAGCCTGCTTCTCCCTCTCCCACCTCCTGCTTGTGTTCCTGTTCCTGTCTCGCTCTCTCTGTCAAATAAATAAATAAAAGGGTAGAGCAAGGCAGTTATTAGCAAAAGAAAAAAAGAATCGTTCCTGGACAGCTGCTTCCCTTAAGGAGAAGGGCAGGAGGCCTTATTAGGTGGACTTTGTGAGAGGGCTTTGTGAGAGGGCTCACGTGACAGATGACTCCATAGGTGCCAACCAAATAATCCCTGACTGAACAGTTAAAATTACATTTCTGAGGGGGGTTGAAACTGCAATTAGGTTACATACTCAGTCCCAGTTTAAGAACTTGGCCTGGCAAAGTGACTCCTTCTTGGGCTTGAGATTTAATTTAAATTATATAGAGAGACAAGGATAGAGACCTACTAGAAGAACTTGACTCATGTGATTATTATGGAGACTGAAAGTTAGTTCTAAGACCTGCAGTTGGTAAACTGGAGACCAGGAGAGCCTATGGCACACTTCAGTCTGAGGCCCAACGCCTCAGAGGCAAGAGAACTAATGGTGTAAGTTCTAGTGTGAGTCTGAAGTCCCAGCTTGAAGACGGGCAGAAAAAGCGAATTCTCTTCTACTGAACTTTTTTTTTTTTAATTT